CCTTTTTAATGTATTAGACTCGAGTACATCGAGAAATCCTCGCATCAAGCGCTTCGGCGCTGTGGTGTGTTAGAACTTCTTAACTACAGGAAGTGGACGCATGACGTCTTTGCAACTACACTAAATCAAGAAGATCCCAGTTTGTCGAAATACTGGTAAAGATTACCTGGAAAAGATGTGAAATGGTCTAAAATTCGAACAGGTATCTAGGGGGAGACGTGGTCCTGCAAGTATATTACCGAGACATCCTCAAACATAAGACACTATAGGGATCATGTAGTAAATAATTGGAACTTGGGACAGAATAAATTTCACTAAAGAAAGTAAAGGAAAAGCCATAGATGTTTCATTGATGGTGTTGAAGCAGGAAAACGCAGCTCGTGTATGTGTGCATAACGACATATAAGTTCAAACTGAAACTTCTTGCTCTGTTGCTGAAACGTCTCCGAAAGTAGTTTGATTCGAGGAGTGTGAGGCAAATATCTGGAACTGGACTGTTTATTAATTAACAGTTCCATTTTGGCAAAAATGGGTGTCATTAAAAAGTTATATCAGATTTACCTTGAAGAAGCACTTGTGTTCCCTTGCGGTTGGTTTCAATTTGTGTGCTCACACAATCTTGTATGGATGAATCTTGGGATTTGTTTTCAAGTTCTTGTTATTGTCTTACGTCCTATGTCGAATATAAACGTATGCCGTCGAGATGAATGTCTAAGGCTGGTGGTTAATGCTAAATTAATAGCATAGTAATTTTTCTATCATTTCAGAATGATTTCATTTAAGTCAACTTTCATATTTGATAAAACAAAAAAGAATTTAGTTCGTATTTTTGAATTATAATAATAATAAGTGCAATATTACTTTTGTATTTAAAAGAATTGAATGTTTTCTTGAAAGAAATCAAAATTGGGAAATTGTGCTAGTGAATAAATAAGCAATTCTTAAAGTTTGTAGAATGAAATTAAACCATAATAATATCCATAAAACGCCTTAGTAATGAAACCTTAGGTAACAAAATATTTATTACTCCTAAAACTTCTACATAAATGCAGTTATCATCTTGCAACAAAATATAATATTTTAATGACTTTTAACAAATTTATGACGACACTAAAACCGCGTTCTACTAAATGTGTCGAAAGAAATGCAATTAAAAATCTTTATGCTGCAGTCTACAATTCGATATAGTGTGCAATAATCAACTCTTGTAACCTTATGTTGCTAATTTGTAAGAATATCATCAAGTCGTGTTCTATTATCTGAAAAATATTTTTAAAATTGACTTTATTCAGTAATAAATCATTTTTCTTTCTGCAAAATTATATTATTTTTTTAATTAATGTGATTATTGAAAATTACACTTGAACCATTAACACAATTATAGTTATAGTACCCGTAGCTATTAAAATGTAATTATCAATGCAACATTAGTTCATACAAACGTGTTATGGCAACAACAGATATACCTGTAACTATAATATCTATGCATACTAATCCATTTAGAGAACATTAGTGCGATAATTAACGCTTATATGAATAATTTAATTATGTGTTAACACTGAACACAAAAATATTTATCATAACACATTAATGAAACACTTCATACGTAAGAACGATAATAATCTTTAGTTAGTTAATAATAATAAACCGACTTTTGTAAACAAATCTACCGGGTTATAGCGAAATATAAGTCTCGAGGCATTTCATCCCTGTTCAAACTGAGCATGTCAGGTTAGTTTACGGCATCATTAAAACGACGCCTTATATTTCATTTACGACACGTCCGGGAAAGTCTTATTGAGAGGCGGCTGACGTACCTGGAAAAGCTGGAAAACGGTATAGACCATTTACCCTGTTAATTTTTAATGGGAAAATTTCGTAAATTGCGGTTATCGCAGAAAGTGGGTTTTATACGAAAAGTTAATAACGATCGCGTTATAAATAAAATGTCTTGAACGAAGTAGAAACAAAGTAGAACGGATCGGTTTTTAAGATGGCCTCGAAACTTTTATGTGAAGTACCGCATATCTTTTATGATACTTTTAAGGTATCCTTATCTAATGTAATGGAAATCATATAGATTACATGTCGAATAATAATCTATTCGACAAAACGGTTTGCGTAGGATTTTACGAATCCATATTAAACAAAGTTTCGTGCTTATTTTCGGGTTATGTCGCTCACACACGCGACGTACACATTCCGGCTGATTACTTTCCGATGAACGTACTTTCGCACGATAAGCTATCTTCCCGGCAGACAAACGATTTTCACATTGTTTGGCGCAGTAATCGTGACCGCAACTATTAACTGGCATTCCCGAGGGAAAGCGTAATTCAAAACCACGTGTCGGCCGCATATATCAAACCACCCGTTTCAAATCGCGGCTATTTCCTGGGAGAGATAAAAACGGAATCGTTCGAAATTGCCCCCACTACTCTTCTTAGTCTATTTTGTTGAAAATTTACGGATAAATTTACTTTCTACTTGAAAAGTCATGAATTATATAAGTTAGAATTACGTGGTCGCCAAGAATTTCAATATACTTCAAGCGTCACCTCAACTATTTCACTGTTACAATGTGATCTATAAATCTTCAAGTGCTTCTTCGTGGATATTTCAATGGTTAGACTCACGAAAGCCGCATATATCTTACATAAATCTTAAATTAGGAATTTAATCAACGGAACAATATCTTAAAATTATTTTCTCAAACTTAGATTTAGTTACTTAATTACATCTTAATTTATTCTTACTAAATTTGAAGCTCGATTGAGGGAAGGTTTATAACAGCAATCCAAACACCAGACAAAGTATGCTTATTTAAAAAATCTCTTTATTTTGACCAATTTTAACCTCTATAAATGGAATTTTTTCACTTTAGCGACCTTCAACCTCTTTAAATAGAACAAACATTTAGATCTGCAAAGTAAGGAAATCTAGGCAAACTACAAAAGTATGTGTACGAGAAGCAAGAATTGTTTGAGTAAGGATGTGATGTTGCATAAACATACTACACTAGTTTTTATATTTAAATCTGTAAGCACAAGTGCTGATGGCAGCAGATCTTCAAAGAAGCCCCTCATTATTATCTATGGCGATATAATCCTCTGCGTGTCCTAGCTTTCCAAAGTCAGTATTTTAGTTCACCATTTCTGGGCGTCGTGTTTCTCGCGTTTTCCTAACATCTGGTATAATTCAAAGTTGTATCTGCTTCGCCATGTTCTGTTTTTACCTGTTCCTTTGAAAATCGTAGGCTTTTCCTCTCGAAGCAGAGCATTATGTCTGTGTCTCACCTACTAATTGTTCATGTCTCCGCACCGTACATAATAATAACTACGGGGGTTTTGTAAATTACTAATTTTGTTTTCCTACGTATTATAGCACTTATTGCCCAGCGCGATCCGACATCACACTCTTGCGCAACAGATATTCTTCGAGTTCTCGTTGAAACTAAGATACTTAAACTTCCGTACCACATCAAAATATTCAGTGGCGATTGTTTTTTGTTCATTCATTTGTAGGTCTTAGCTTTTGGTTAATCAGTGCTCTATAAATGCCTACATTTATGGCAAGGGTTTGGCAACGATGCCAATGATGTTCATGTTAGCAAGCAGTTGTGTAGATTTATTTTTTACTATACTATTTTCTAGGCATATGTTGAACAGGGAACACACCAGCGCGTCATCCTGACGTAGTCCGTTACAGATTCCAATATTCTCTTAAATATGATTTTGTATCTTTATACACCATCTGACGTTGGTCATTAAATTCTTACCAGGTCTACCAGTATTTTTCAGATAATGAGATTGTATAGGGCATCGTATAGTTTTGCTCCTATGATGTTGTGCTCTAAGCTCCTTCACCAAAGTTTGGCGTAGAACAAATATTTGATCTACCTAACCCGAATCTATTTTGGTATTGTCCTAGAAGCTTTTCTGTATAAGTAAGCAATCTTTTATATAGTATATTGCAGAATTCTTTATATATTCAGAATTCTCCAAAAGCACTGACATGAATTGTGCAAATAGACAAAACGTTGGCGAAATAACGTAAACTGCACAAAGTCTGCGCAGGTCACGTTTACGTTAATTAAAGGTGCATTCCCATCTATTTGCATTGAAAGCTGAATCTACGGAAAACATTTCTGGACTAGAACTGGGACTTATCTATAGTAGAACGTGAAAATTTAGATTAAGATTCTGTAAAACTACAACAACATATAAACGATTATTTTTGCTAATTAATAAATTATTTGTTTCGGTTTAACCAAAATCTTTTATTTTGTTTATCCTTTAAAAAATTCTGTATGCTGGAACATCCAAGTTCGACTGTAGTAGTAAGTTATGTAATTGGAACAATTTTTTTTATTTTAAAATGAAACTAATTTATTCAAAATTAATATTTTAAGACTTTACAAAGTTGTATATTATCCGATAATAATGCTACAAGAGTTATATCTGGTTTCTGAGTATTGGAGCGTCCCCTAGAGCGCGTCACCCGATCTATTTCCAATATACGTCGCATCTTATCGCCGCAAGTCGGACGGAATCGTCCTTAATGGACCCAGAGGGTCCTGAATAGTTCCCGAATCAGTTTGGAACGATAACAAAAGGACGAGCTGAACATTTTCGCTGAATCGGCTTTGCCATCGTCGTACACTTTGCTCGCGGTTTTCCCATCTGTCAGGTGCGCTTCGCACGGTATGAGTTATTGCGTTCTTGGTTCTCTTCCAAAAAGCAAGGGAAATGGAAGGGAAAAGCTGTGCGAGCGCCCGGCACGTGTTCCATCGTGCCCTGTCGTCATTTGAGCACGTGTAATATTTCGGAGGAATCCCCTAAAGCCCTCGAACGTACCTCCGGATACCTTCAGATAATTGGTCGTTGGTATTTTTACGATGCGGTTGTATCTACTTACAGCATCTCTTAAAAGGATTGCTAAAACACGTACTCTTTTCGGATCCAGTACTAACCAACCTAACCATTTACTTTTTGTTTCAGGTTTTGGGTTCGTCACATTTCAGAGCGAAGATGTTGTGGACAAAGTTTGCGAGATCCACTTTCACGAAATCAACAATAAAATGGTGAGTTCTTGAAGTCGTTTTTCGTTCCGTTATCTCGCCGCCCCTCGGAATTGGAAATCCACCCCCCTAATACCCAATTAATTTAATGGCCGCGGCGAAATCGCTCCGGCGAATCGCGATAAAGTGATTTTTATTTTGATTGCCCGGAAATGTTCCCGGAGCCATCCAGACGGGAAAAGAGAATGACGCCCGATGAACGATCCCGATTATCGGTTTTTCTTTAAGAATTTTTAGTTTTATATTCCATACTAATTATTAACGAATTGAAGTAATCGAAATTATAACACCAAAATAATAATAATAAGGGGGAGCTACGAATTATGTTTCAACCTAGAATACTAGAGTTTGACATAAACAACGACCAAGGAGAATCCAGATTATTCGGGGAATCATTAATTCCCTGTTATTAAATCGAGCCACCCGCAAGTCTTCCCGCGTGACCATTGTGTCCCAATTTCCGTGCAACTTGGCTCCGAAACTATATTTCAAGTCGGTAAGCCCGGCGGTTCCCTCTAATTAAACAGGATTTTAATATGGGCGCGAGCGCGACCTAGGCTTACGCGGCCGCCGTGCTGTTTGTGTGAGGCAAACTGTTTATTATCCTCCTAACGTTCCAATGAACGGGCCCGAGTGAACAGTTTGTAAAACTAATATACGTCGGAGCGGCCGCGGTTTGCTTTAAATGCACGTGCATCCCACTGGCAAAAGCTTCGAACGCCATCCTGAATACCATCACGTTTACAAAAGAGATTTCGACGAAATTATTTCCCGAATTTATCTACATACACCACTAATTAATTTATTCAATTTTGTTCATAAAATAAAGTAAAAATAAATTAAAAGTTAAATGTCATAAAAAACTGGAAATATAAAATCTGAAATATTTTTGTAATGATATAACTTTAGAAGCTGCAATGGTAATGAGTAATAACACGTATTGTAGTATTCATTAAAACATTCATTAAAACGTTCATGGAAAACAGTTAGTATTACAAGTTGAAAGTGCTCCGTTAAGCACCTGTACTGCGCCACCTGCATTACCGATTCAATTTTGATTACAATACAGTAAAGAGCGTCGACGAACGACCTGGTACTCGGTGTAATTTTCAATTTAGCGCGACCGAGCACGTCCCATATTTAAACTGGACTCCCCCCAACCCTCCACGATGAGCTTTCCAAGCTTTCCATCGGGAGAGTTCCCCATATATCTTCTCCGCCGGTTTCTCTCGTCCAATTTCGTGTCTTACAATCAAGAGTGATTTGCAGAGCTCCGTCGCCAATTACTAATGAGCGTCTTTAGAGGAGCTCCGAGAGAACCGTCGTTTTCCCGATACCGTCAGCTTAAGACGACTGACGTAGAATTAAACGGCCGGTTAAATATGCATGGGTTGGGAGCCCCCGATTCGGTCGATAAAACCGTGCTTTTGCTAGAACGCCAATCGCTCGCGCCACTGTAATAAATTTCGGGACGTGAAATTTTGACGTTTCCATTGCGGACGTCGAGTGCCTCTACTAGGGGTAGGTAGGGAAAACCTCCCGTTGCCGTGCCACATCGCGTTACATGCATTAAACGCGGTCCCTGCTGAATATTTACCGACTCTTTCACGCCCTCATCAACGATTTATCCGGGTCACGTGCCTCCGAACGGAAAACCCTGTTACCTTTAAATCATATTGAAACGTTTGCTCTTACCCGTGCATTTTTAAATGTCTACTGAAATCTAAACCTGCACTAGAATAAGTAAACTGATACTTTCATTGAAATTAAATTTAAATAAATCAATTAATACACATTCTTATAGAGAATGAATGATTACATATTCCTATGTTTTATTTTCATCTTTAGCTTTCGAATTTTCATTTAGCTAACTACTTCTTCATTGGTGTGCATAGGTTTTTGAGTCAATAACTTTACGATACACGATGTTAACGTTATGTTGGCTTTAACTTAAGACCATAAATCTCGTCCTTTTGGATTAAGACTATTTAGTTTTGATGAATCTTGATTTAAATGGATGATGACTGTGGATTATTACTGCTGTCGGGTTGAGGGGAGCGGCCCCTCTTGTCTCCGCGACCTATGAGATCTATTGTAACCTAAGCCCTCCAAAGGTTTATGGCTAATATAGGTCCTTGATGAACCTTAGTATTGCTCCAAAGACTTCAACCTTTCCGATTTTTTTTGTCTCAGGCGACCTCTGACGACGCATTCACACAGAATATGTACAACGGTCCCTTGTCATTACAAAGTCCTCTCAAAGTCTTGAGGACCAAATAAGTTTGATCCTCAGCTTGTCCAATGTTGAATAGATGATTTAGGAACGTATGGCCGATCAGGAATCTACAGCGACCATAGATCCCCTTTGGTGAGGCATAAAACAACTTTAGTTTTCTTTTGCGTCGGAGTTATCGTACTCTTCGTCTGTCTGAGGAAGTTCAATCCAGCACAAGGCTATCTTTGAGTCCTCTCACGTGCTAATTACCCAATAAAGGGTGTCCTCGCTGCCTCTTTGATCAGCCTGTGCGCCTTTTCATTGCCCTCAATATATTTGTGACTTGGAACTAAATAGAGTAACCTCATTACCCCTGGCAAGCTTTCTCGCGTTTCGAACATCGTTTCAAACATTCACAAGTTTAGGTCTGAATTGCCTTTAATGCTGCCCAAGTATCCGCAAAGATGTTTATCGATGCACCTTTTTGTCCATTTTCTAGATTCAGAACGGTGCAGAAGTTAATGGTAAAAACTTCAGCTTGAAAAATTGCTGTATCCGAGCTTAAGGGCAACTTAATACGGCTTTTTGGTTCACTGATGCCCATAACTACTCCGGATGCAATTGTCTTTGAAGCATCGATGTACCAGGCAAGGGCACCTCTTTTGAGTTAAGGCTCACCCTTCGTCCATTCTTCCCTGCTTCTAAATATGACCTTATAAAGCCTGTCGAAATTATATTCTGTCGGTAATAATCCGATAATAATCCGTTTTAATTTGAATGAAGTGATTTAGCCATGTATACTAATTCAGGCAACGCCAAAGTTCGAACTAAAATACTTTTGTACAAAACAATTTATATGTCTACACTATAGATATTAAGACGATGTTAGCCTGAAACAACGCGTTGTGGATACTTTTTGGTGTCCATAATGTGCAAAATTGGTTAATGTCGCCTATTGAGTAAACCTAAATACGCTTAACACGTTGTAATCATTTAAGCTTACCCGCAACGCATTGTAAGTAAAAATGTCGGACAATGTCCGAATTCAGATATTGCAGGTAACGTACACTGCGTTAATTAATTATCGTACCCGAAGTCGTCATTGCAAGTATGCAATCAACACCACAGTATTCATATAGCAATACGCGATATGCGTATTGCAATATCAATACATGCTTGCATGGTTGCATACTTGCAATGATGACGTCGGGTACGGTAATTAATTAACACACAGTATATACAAATGAAGTGGTGTGAGCCCAAGTAGTGCTATAAGAGCAGTCGTCGGACGAGACCTCATTGTACCAGCTACATTAAGACATACAAGCAGCTGGATTTGTGGCAGCTATTGTTGCGCTGTCTTGTGATTCGTTTTTGGCCACTAAACTAATAAAGCATAAACGAATTCCAGTTTAATTTACTGTTCAGTATTACCCCTAGATATTTAACCTCTGTTTTGAGGTTGATACCTCTACCTTCAATGGAGGGTGCTTTCCGTTATAGCTTCGTTCTCCGAGTGAAAGGTACTATTTCTACTTTTTTTGGATTAATGCTGAGCGCATTGCTTTTGCATCAGGTGTTAGTAAGTAGTAGGGCTTTCTGCATTAATTGGGTTATTATTGTGTCATATTTACATCGGATTGTGACTGTATCTGGTTAAAGTATTAGTTGCAGATGATGGTATCAAATATACGATGAAAATACCTTGATGATATAAACTAACAGGAGTTGATTTTCATCGATTTGGTTATGAATGTTAAATGATTAATCTAATTTTATTATTTTTTTTTCAGGTTGAATGTAAGAAAGCACAACCAAAAGAAGTGATGCTCCCTGCAAATTTAGCGAAGACAAGAGCCGCTGGTCGCAGTGCATACGGTGAGTTGCTGGTGCTGAATGCTTCCGCGACCGGAGGTCCGGTGACTGCGTCGGCTACCGGACCTGCAGCTTCTTCGGCCGTCCGTTACGCGCCATATCCTTTGCCGGCCGCGGGTGCAGGAGCTGCCGTGGCTGCGGCCGCCGCCGCCGCTGCGGCTGCATCCCACGGCGTCCCTTTGTTCGCGGTTGCCCCCGCGCCTTCTTTGCATTACGCGTCCGCGCTTTACGACGTCACGGGGTGCAAAAGAGTTTTTGCAACTCCAGCCGCAGCAGCCGCTGCTTTAAGACCTTTACCACGCCCCACGTTAACTTACACTATGAATGATCTTTTGGCGGTACCAGGACTTGATCTTCCGACGGTTTATGCGAACGTCCCCGGTGGACTTGGAATATAAAATTTAAATAAGGGGGTGTATTTTTTATCTATCTAAAAATAATAGTTTCATTAGATGTTAGCAAATAAAATTGATTAGACCAAATATATTTTTAAAGGCTTTTGAATATAAATGTTTTTGTTGGCAGATTATTTAAAAATTTTATTTCACCATTTTAACTATATTTTAAGAAACATATTTTTGAGAATTATATGGGGAGTATTATGCGTTCAGGAATTAACTGTGATGTAACCAAATAGATCACTTAGTTGTTTTCGTAATAAAGTAGATAGATATATCGCTCAATCGGCCTAACTAACACTTTTATTGTTTAAATCAGTACAAAATTGAAAGACTGCAAGTAGAAGAATACATTAGAAATAGTTGCGGCTTAGATTTAGGTAGAATTTTTTTTTAAGAATCAAAATTACGTCGGTTCGATTCGACTTCGACGTCGGCACGAACTGGAAAGGTATTTTTTTTCTTCGAATATATCGGAACCGATTTAGCTCGGTATCTATAGCTAGACGCCGCCGTTCGGTTATAGATTGCGTCCTGAGACCGCTACGGTATAAATAGCTCCGTTTTATAACACCCCGTCACGTCAAAGTCACTGCCTGATACGCGCGTTCGTTCCTTCTTTTTATTATTTACCAGCGACCCCCCTCGAGTCCCGATGGAGTTATTTATGACGACGTAACGTAACGATGTAACTCGAAAGTAATCCGTCGTCTTGGTTGTTGTGAGCGCCGGGCCGTTTGTTCGGTCCTCTTTTTTACTTTCATGAAATTTCATCCTGTCTATACTTACTCGACTAGAGGCAATTAATGTATACACGAAGTTCGAACGGGTCCCTGCGCCTCGCGGACGCGGATTTTTTAAATTGCTTCTCGAAAGTTGCCGGAAAAGTCTAATTAAGGGGCGCGCTATCGTCCCGGACCAGCAGGAGCCCGGTCGTCCTCGCGCTCCGTATGTATAAAAAGACGAGCGGATTGTACTGCCGGGCGCTTAGGGAACGCCCTAGAACCTAGTTATGTAACTATTTAGAAGTTTCGTGTAATCCTCACGCAAGTCGGGCCAGAGCAGAGTAGTACGTCGTTTACAGGTCCTGTGAGGCTACCTAGTTGGTCCTTTTTGAGAATTCGCCCTGGCCTCGTGTACGTTCATGTCCTGTAAAAGTCGAAAGGTGAACACTTTTGCATAGATTAGACACTTAGCTTTCGTATCTATTTGTGTAATTATTCGTTCAACGATCGTTGAAAGTACGGTACGTAATGAGGTAATATAATCAAAGAGTAAAGCTGAAACATTTTATTTGGCACGATTTAAAATACCTCAATACGACTTAACGACTTTGTAATTTCTCTTTATACTAGTTAAATAGCGTAAGTTGTATAAAAATACTTATATTATAGAACTTTTATTATTCTTAGGTATTTTTAGCCTCTAAGCGATATAATCAAAATAATAAAAATTACTAATAGATTATACTTAGCTAGTGATATAGATAACTGGCGAGAAGCGGTGGATACCGAGGGCAGAATAGAGATCGTAAAAACTTTAGGTGGCTCCGACGCAAGGTCGTGCTGTTTCTGAAATAAGTATTCTACGAGTCTTAAATGTGTATACTTCGTTAGCGAGATGGACTAGCGGCTTAGATAACCGTAGCTTGCATACTACTTACTTTCGAGTGCTACTTTATAGCCAAACTTGAGTAAAACTAAGCCTAGTGTTGAAGGCCTTAGGGTGTCTGTGAAGGGTAGTGGAGAAATAGTCTCGGGTCGGAGTTTAAAAACGACGCGACTTTGTCGTCATTTATTTCTTTTACTTTTTTAATTTTTCTTAGATCGTAGACAGCTTAGACTAGATCAGTCGAATGTTTTATACTAAACAAACCAATCGACAACACGCGTTTATTACTTATTATTGTTATTAGATGTTAATAAGCTGTAGATTATTAGAAATTTAGTATGAAATTTCATGAATGCTCCATATTTTCGATCTTTCGTTATATCGTTTAATATTTTGTTTTAATTTACATAGTTTCCGGTAGCGTTTAATTTATTTTCTGTGTTGTTTTCTTTTTAACGTTCAATCGGCGCACTTGCATTTCCGAAATACCGCCCGTTTATATTTTTATTTCAATATTCACTAATCGATTTGTTTTGTTTTGCTTTTATAGATTTTATGTGGTCACTAGGGGCTCTACCTGACGGTAAGTATTTTTGCATTTTTTCGTACATCACCATTTATTAAGATTAAAAACATTTCCATACGCGATTTACATATTTTTCCTCAGCGAGACGAGTTAGGGTTCTTATTATGTATGTATTTCAAGTAGCATCATATATCTTTTTAAAATATACTGTAATTTATCTACTAAGTTAAAAGTGCATAAAAAAGGAACATTTTTATAGTTTTTATAGTATAACAATTTTTTTAATGATTTAGTTTTTTAAACTAAAATTAATTTAAGTTAAGCGATACAATTTTAGGTTTCATTTTATGCAGGCGCCAAGAAATGACATTCCGAGAATTAAGTCTGGCTACTTATTATCAAAAAAAATCAGATATAAATGTTATCAAAAGACAAATAAACTTCGTTAAACAATGAAACGAAATAGTGTTACTTGAAGTCTTCGCGTGCTTTTTAAAACATTTCTTCCACATAGGACTCAAGTTTTGCTTTAAATAGTAAAATTTCTTTTAATATGAGTTTGATGTTCACAACTATCAGTATCTTCTTTTACAAGCACTGATTACATTTTGATTTATTCGCTGAATGAATCAGTGACATGATCTTAGCATGTGATCTTTCATCAGTAAGAGATGAAGTCATACTTTTATATTTCACTACTCATTGAATATCTAAATGATGGATGAATTGTTCTCAGGCAAGATTTTCCAAAGTTTTAGCAGTTACAAGCAATTTTTGTTGTATACACCATTTATGAACCGCATTTTCTAAACATTTTCTGTCTGTCAAGATCTATCCCGTTGCTGAGCCTTCATTCGCAGGGTTTTTTTCCGCACTTGCTAGATCTGACCTTGTCTTCCATTGAAATTGGATACCGAAATCATGCACAGGGTTGCTTATCCTTCCGTAGTTCCCCAACTTGGAAGTAAGAGTCGGATGAGTAAGAAATGTATGCTTTAGAATGAATGTGTTCTAAGAGGTCTCGCAAAGTATACTCAAGTCTGTTGACGTACAGTAGTGTTCTGCTGATGTATAGTATGAAGGTTCTCATAGAGCCAATAGGGATGGTTGTAGTGGTTGTAACTTTCTTGTTGATTGGAATGCGCTTTATTAATAAACTTCATAGAAAAAGTCAGCATTGTGGTAAATATCTAGTAATAACCCTGTGCACAAATTTACTAGCATAAGATCATCTACGGAATGCCGCATTTGAACATGCTGCCAACATGTATGAAGAGAGGATTGAGTGTGACGCTTATATCTTGATAATAAACTATGTATACCAAAACCTGGCAAAATCATGAAGTAATGAACTAAATACTGAAGATATTTAGATCAGGAAATGATACTGACATTTAGTTTATCCATTAATCAACGAATTTTGTATGTTTTGTCGTTTTGAACCAAACATTTTTGAGAAGATTATAATTTATGATCCCATTTAAGAGATAGATCATCATCCAAAAATAATTCAAATATTTTTACTGGTGTAATAAATGTAAATTCTAAAAAATCTTAGAAACGAAATTCCATGGACGAATTTTGGAGATTTCTGTTCAAAATCCATCTTTTTGCTCTTAGGTAAAGAAAATATTGGTGTTTTATTCCTTGCTCTATAGCAGCGATAATAATCACTGCTTATCGTGCCGTTAAATTTCCTACGGAGCTTAGAGCTGGTGATTAGACAGCTTATCCAGCTTGTACATACTTTTTATTAATAAACAAAAAACAAACCGAGTTACAAATATTACAAGCTAAAGTTATTACATCTTATTCAATATTTTGATGCATACTTTTGAACGTTCATATTTTACAGGAACCTACTTTGTACTAATATTGTACTAATAACGATAGTGGTGCCATGTATATTTATAATTAGTTTTCTAATCTTATTTCTCATTATTTCCCGGTCTTATTTCTGTGAACACAAAAAAAAATTAACATTTTATCATTTCGTGGCAAGAACACTATTAATTTTTTTGTGATAAAAGATAAGTTTAGTTTTCGGTCACATTTCGGCATGAATATATAGATAACTAAACACCTATTTTCTACAGAAATATCATGAAACATTGTCCTCGACTTATTTCAACATCAAACCTTGTATTTCAGCATCGTTCCAGATATTTATCAAAATCATTCCATCTGCACAGACCGTCGTCCATGTCATCTCTCAATGTTATTCCTCGCTTTCATTGATATCGTCCGTAACATATCTCATTATCGTCCATGATATTTCTTATGGTCATCTATTGATCAGTTAAATATATTGAAGCACATCATCTCTGACAACTTCATTCTTAACCACTCTTAATATCGTGTCTGGTTTCCTGGCAACATTTCTTAAATTCTGTAACAATTATACTTAATATTTTTCAAACTTCGTGATTAACTACCATAAATGTTATCCCTAGCGTCCCAACATCATCTTCTTATCTTACTCAACATCACCCATGACATTTTGCAACATCTAAAGATTATGTTTACCATCTCTATCTTCGTCCCTATCATTACCTAATGCCATCGGTGAGATATATTGCATCGTTTTTGATATCTCCTTTTTGACCGTTTCTGGCATATCTAAGTGTACATTACTGTCCTCTTGAACATTTCGTCTCTAACAACAATACATCTTTAACAACAACATTTGTCTCTAACACCCCTTATAATCATTCTTACTATTTCTCACAGCTGTCTCTGTCATTTCATAATACTGTAAGATACATATGTTCTCTGTACATCTTTCATTAATATCATTCATCCCACTGCAAATCGTAGCTGCTCTTCTTTAACATCGTTCCTAAAAGCTATCACACAGTACCTAACTGTTCTAATCATTATCCCTATTTCCAAAGTGTGACGTTACTGATGTGTACTAGTATCGTATCTAACTTCCCCCAAAATTGTCTCCAAGTATTCTCAACCACACATATCTCATTGCTCTTGATATAAGGAACCAGTGGTATTGAACTATAATAAGTCAGAACCATTTTCAATGATATAGATATTAATATTTTTATTCAAAAAGCGTTTCCTATCAAAATCTTACAGTTACACAAAGATTAGGTAATAGAGAAGGAAGGTAATAGACTTAAATTACGTGTATTAATGTCGGTATGGGGGAGGCTTCAAATAGGTGAGTTGATTATTTGTTTTAAGGAAAAGTGCACAATTGTAGAAACAAACATATTATAATAAAAACCACTTGTATCGAAATTTAAGAACATAAGTTTTCGATGTGTGATGATTGTAGAATTATGCCTAATAAAAACTACGAATCATTTTGATCACTGATGATGTACATTCTAGAAAATAATATAGTATTTACTCTTTAAGTATCGGAACGTTATTTCTAGACACCTGTATATAAGTTGAAAACACTTTTTGGGGTTTCAGTTTCAGGAAGTGTTACTTTGTTCGTAAAGTTTTAATTTTTTATAGTTCCTAAGTAAGTTTTTACATTGAACGACCTTTTTTCTGTTACAGGTTTCCCCGCAGCAGCTTATGCTGCTTACGCGGCTGGAAGAGGTTACTCGGGCTACCCTAGTTTCGGACTCCCCTATCCCACAGGTAATGCATTGGCCAGTTTGCACCATCACCACCCGCTACCGTTACTCCCTTACCCACTCGAACACTTGGGGGTGTATGGGGGTTCGGGCCTACATGCCATGCCCCTGTGAACGCAAACCGAAGTTAAGCTCAAATCTCCGCTTAAAGTTCGCGTCTCGGCTGGTAAAACGACCCGTTTTGTCACCTTTTTCCGGTTTTATCCGAATGAAGATCGACAAACCGGCGTCGTCGTCGTTGGTCGAAATCCGCGCGTCCGTCTTTTTTCTCCGTCTATTCCTCCCCGATTTTCCGCGATCCCGAGAAGCGTACATTAGGAACAAAGTAATTTCTGTAATTGTATTGCCATAATGAAATGACACCAGTAGCGAACACACGCAAACAACAGTATATCAAAAACGAATCGATGCGCTCGCTCCGTCTCTCCGATTCTATCTCTCTTTCTCTTTTAAACTAGATAGGGTAACTAAAACTAAACTAAACTAACTGTGTAGGCCATGATTAATCGCTAGGTGTAGTTTTGCTAGAGCGTAGGGTTATTGTTAGGACATAGGGTAACTTTATGAGGAGTTTAGTGGATGCCCTCTCTCTCTCTTCCCCCTTCCTGGACGTGTAAAGCCACTTAAGGTCTCCTATGGTACAAGTTCTTGGTGACCGAATTTGTTCTAGTACTTATGAGAATTGAATGAATTCGGTTTACAATATACATTTTGTACCTTTATAATTCTGGACTCCCATCCTGTTTGTCTAAGTATCGCAGTTTAATCCCCTCGTAATCATAAAACCGACACTTTTGAGTTGAAATGCGCACGCCTCATCTCCTTTTAGTCTCGATTTCAAAAGATAAATACATAATAATAATAAACGAAAATGAATATTCCGAGTACAAAATGCATTGTCCATCCAAAACAAAGTTTCGATTAACCAAAGCGAAATAAATAAAAGTGAATTCAAGGGACGAATTTCTCGAGAGATTTCTCAAAATAAAAGGAAATTTTAAGCAATTATCGCTCATCAATTATCGAGAACGTTTTTCGTTCTCGGCGCTAAAATAATTAATTAAATGAAAAAAAGGGAAAAGATATTGTTATTGTTATAATTCGTTATTTTTCTATTGCCACAAAGGGATTGTACCTTATACGGTTTGTTAATAATACGATACGCTTGTTCCAAAATGTATAATTTTTCACATCAGCACCTCGATGCCTCTCAACGAAACGGGCGATGGCCGTCCCAGTTTCCATCCAGAACGCACACCGTCGCGGTTGGACGCGAAAAGAAAAGATCCGGTAACGAGCAGAAAATCCGGAAGGCCTATCGTTCACAGGCGCATGGTCGTGGGATGATAGGTGATTTAGTGTGTTCTTGACGTCCGAACTAGGAATAGACCCAAACGCGAGGTGTTCCCTCTAAACACTCTGTTGTTGCGTCTTTCTCTAAACTCTCTACCCGTTACTATTTTGTATGGCGGCGGTACACAAGTAGTGGGCAGACGACTACAAAACATGAAAACTAACAAAAAAACCGAAGTAGTTGCAAAGATTTTTGTAGTCGCCTTCCTTCACGAAAACATTCCACTGTTGCCCAACTCTGCACCTGCAAATATTCGACTGTTGTCACTTTGAGCATATGAATAAAGGATTTCGCAGTTCTATTATTCTTCACACACACAGTATCCTTTATTGATTTGCTTATCTCAACGAAAAGTCTCTATCAATTAATTAATTATCTATAATTGTGTGAATGAAATAATCAAATCGACTAAACATTCACATGAGATAAAGATAAAAAAGTACTATAAAAACGCTATTTCGTAAGAGTTCTTTTTTGTATGTGAGAGTGAATGATTGTATAAGCATATCCGTCACTAAGCATAAGTGCGCTCGATGTTATACATATATTTTAAAACTTGAGACTGTTGCTTGTTGCGAGACTCCGCGAAAACTCGAAGACTACGATTTATGCGACGATTAAGCGAATAAGCAATGTGTAAAAAGAAAATAAAAAAATGTACACAAAGAGAACCCCGCTGAAGTTTTTCTATTCAAACAAAAAAGGGTTACAAAAACAATTTTTTAGCTAGATTACCACTATTGTTATCTATTTAGACATTCACGAACTTACGTCTGATGTTATAAACCACATATTTCTTATTTTAAAACACATTTAAGCACGTAATCGGACGATTTACTCGAATTTGGGGCCAAAAGGCGGTTCCAGTAATGAATCGGTGGCGTAATTAAAATAGCCAACGACACGAAATGAATCGTCTCAATTAGTACCGGGATAGAAGGGCCGAATGCTTCGGCCCGAAACTAATAGGGCGGCGTACGTGTACGTTCCGGGAAATAATTGCTCCATTAATTGGGTCGCGACGAAGAATTTCTAATAGAAACGTCATGTGCCGGTTGAAATCTGCCTCAAATTAAGGTTAAAGTTTCGATAATTCAAAGATCTTTTGTCAGACATGGGTTCGTTTAATGTCCACAAATCGATTCTCTGGTAGTGTAAAAAAAAGTTTAGGAAAACGTTGTGTGTATCAAGTGTCGAAACTGTACCAGACAAGTGGATCCGCGCCTGGACCGTCTCTTCAATTGTTGAGGGGCGAGTAATTATTAGAACAATACCTATTTTTACTATTCATAGAAGTCGTGTGATCAGATATTTTTTATATTAGGTTGTAATAACAGATTTGATGTTTTAACATAGATTGTAGTCAAAACTAACCAAATAGATAACAAATAATCATTATTCTGTAGGGGTAGAATATAATTTGTGTGTATCTTGTACGATTATCCCCATCTAATCAACAGTTTAGTTTCCGATTACTGCGTTCCATTATGAGAATTCGTTGAATTGATATATCGGCAATCGAAAGCAATGAAGTTAATGAGACGTTGGTTCGGTCGGCGATATCAAAGAGAAATAAACTCATTCGTGTACCGAAATACTTCATTAGTTATGCAAATTATCCGCAACTATAAATTCTAATACCGCTTTAGATCAATACTACCAATCATAACTGTAAATACCAATAACCCGCGTATTACAACCTCCGCTGAGTTACATGTCGGCCAATGCGCAAATTCTTTCCCCAGATCAATTGTTTGACTATTACGGGAATGTTTATGCAGCATCGCGGTATCAATGGTATATTCAATTTAGCGCCCGAAATTTGATTAATTGGGATAATTTGTACAATATAAATTATAAGAATAATATGTGTGTAAAATAGAAACGTCATAGTCGAAAAACAAAAATATGTAATAAGGCGAAATTATAGTTTTATTAGATTTTAGATAAAAGTGTAAGTTATCAAAGTTTTTTTTTAATTTACTTTAATAACTCACACTCGTAGTGACGCAAACAATATTTTTGACTAGCAGTAGTGATGATTTTTACTTTTATATTATTAATCGAAATGTTCGGACACGAAAAAAATTTTCTTTTCTTTTTAATTTTAACTTTAGCATAGAACTCGGAAAAATTCTTTTCGTCGATTTTTATTTCTGTGTGCGAGTTAGACTAGAGGTCAGTGTGTAGTGTGGTCTTAGTTAGATCGACTAATGACATTAGTCACGCCTATATAGTAACCGTGTGTGTTTAGTGGAACGTCGACATACACCACATACGCACACTAACACACAACAGACATACAAAGACAATAATTCCATACAATTTCGTAGATCGTTCCATATTTTTTACTATTTCCATAAAAGACACCGCAATCGATCGAATTGAAAATTTGATCTCTCCATGATGGATGGACATCGCGTTCTATACTCATCCATCATGCGATACGATCATCTTTTAACGCACACCCATCGATCGAGGAAATTCCGGAAAGAAAACGACGACGCGCGGTGTCTTGGAACGGTCAAAATTACGATACACACCACACCAGAACAACACGACCGTAGCATGTAGTAATATGTACCAATCCTCCCCAATTAATCTAGAATGTTCTGTGTTTCCAGTGGACCTAACCAACGGCCAGCTCACGCCTAACAATAACACACCCCTGTTGACTCAAGCCCTGTCAGGTAATTACATATATTGTTTTGCATGTACCGACGTAATTGCTCTCTGTAGTAGACCTTTGATGACTTGATACTGACCGTTAAGCCCCAACGGACCATTTACCTTGTAATTTACACTTAAAACGCGCCAGAAGAGGTATCGAGCTATTATTGTAAGGAAAAGTATCTGTTTGTCCTCAACGACTGAGAGAATGAATGATCTTTGTTTTATTTCCATCATTTCAACTTTTTTAATCGAATATTTTTATTTCTTATTTAAAAAAATAAAACTATTCGAAATATTAAGAATGATTATTGTGAATGTTTAGTTGTTATTTTAATGTTACTGGACATAAAAACTTAATTGAATTTCGAACTATCACTACTATCATACAGAGGGCGTTGTCCATATTTTTGTTAATGAAGACAAAACTATAGTTACTATGGGGAATAATGTTGTTGTTACCGAGTTCGTCATTGTTGGTGTTGTAACTCGTACAATGGCGTGTTTAAACTAGAAGCAAGTTGTAGAGACAGGGTGGTGGGGAAGGATTCGTTAGGTTTTGACGGACTTGAGGTAAATATTCAGGACGGGTATTGCATTAACTGAATACGTAAGTGCATTAAGCGAAATCAAGTTCGCGTCAGGACGCCGTCGGCGTCGTTAAACTGTTTCCCCCCCTTTTCAACCCGCACCAAGCTCGATCTTTCCCCTTCGCATCTTCACTCGTTCCCATGTCTTGTTTCCTCAACTCCGTCCATGTACGTGTGTGTACACGTCGAAGTCTTACCTCTTACACTTATTGCCGGGCAATTCCGATTTCGCTTTACCCTGTAGTAACGTCGTCGTAAACACGAGGTCGACGGAAATGTTTACCCAACCAAAAGTAAAGGGGGGTAACTTTAAGGAATTTGTATCGCGGTGCCGTTTGCATGGTAATTTTGAGGGGGTTCAAACGGAGGGTGAGATGGGGGGCGTTCCGGAATAAAATAAGGGGCTCGTGATTACGATTTGCTTGGCCTCGGTCGGCTCCAGGATTGTTTGTTGTCGACAGGATCGTCGTCCACGACTTGGAGCCAACCGTCTGGGGCCGAACAATCGGCGCCCGCTGCACCTCAACACCACTTCTCCGTTTCCTTTGCAGTGATGAACAACTACCAGGCGGCGGCTGCTGCGGCACAGGGTTTTGGGCCACCAGCATCGCCCCATGCAGCTAACACGAGAGCCGGAGGATTTCCTGCTGCTAATTCTCCAGGTCCCACCATGGACATGTACAACAGCAGCGCGGCGGATAGCGTTGGTTATGTGCAGGCTGCGAGTCCACAACCTTCAAGCTTTCCAGCCATTGCGGTCAGTCGTGCCCCACTCAACTATAGCCCGGTAAGTACAACATTTTTACCACCTTCCAGTTTATTAATAAAAATGGATGAATTGTGGTATCAATGTCTCAATAATATCAATTATTGACTGGATGTTGATTAAATAATCTGAACAGTATTTTGATTCCAGTACAATACCTGGAATGGATACGCTAATTGGTAAAGATGTTTTTGATTGGCTCATCTGCAATCAAAATACTGCTCATATTATTCCAGTTGAAATCTATTCATGGATTGGATCGCTGAACTAGGATATACTACAATAATATGAACTGTTTTACATTGATGCAGGCAAGTGCCTGACGTATAAACTATATAAAACGTTAGATGTAAACCTAAATTAACAAAAATGTGTATTAATTAAAACTCCTTAATATATCAAAAATATCTTTAGTTCTTTACTATTGGTATTTCTTATAATACAAATTAAATGAATATCTTATATAATGCAGGTGGTGCATCAGCCAAAAGACACCTTTTTCAACAGGAACTAGCATCATTTTTTTCAGATATTGCAATCGACTGAAAGCAATCTTAATGCTATAACGAGTAATATAGTCTTGCGATACAGTCTCTGTTATATCTTAAGTCGATGTCGCTTGTGGCCGAGGCGGTACAATTGATATAATATCTATAAAACACATAGTGTGTACACACTCCTCCTCCTATGCTAAGCTGAGGTTGCTTGCGGCCGAGACGCTACAATAGATATTGTCTAATCCTACATCGAAGTGGTAGAAATTGTTGCACCTCGGCGAAAGCAATACACTTCAATAAGTTATATTGAGGTTGCTTGCAGTCGAAGCGCTATATTTTTTGTTGTTCAACATTACATCGACCTGATATCATTTGTAATTTCTATATATTTTCATGCAATCTCCCAAATCATCCAACATAATACTATAGACTTTATATGAGAACTCCTAATTTTGCTCCCCATTAGTGTGTTAGATAATAAAGATAGTCTTGTGTAAGCATGCAGATGATTATGATAATCCAATATAATCCAATGTTGTTACGAAGGCGGAATGATACAAGGAGAACCAAGAAAAACATTATCATTAATATCCAAATGAGCCGCACCACACGATAAACAAAATATTCCGCTCATTAAACGTGTGGTTTATAATTATCGAGATAATGAACCATCCTATCTGTAACCGAGCGAACGATACATAACTACACTAAATAAATCTATGCAAACTCTTCGCAATTAACGAGGTGTCTGTGGTAGTTAAAACGTGGTCAAGATAGAGCCTCATCCAGAAGTGAACTCGGTAGACATCCTTCCTAAATTACAATACAATTATATGCCAAGGCAGCACAGATATATTGTCGTTGATTGCAAACTTTATCTTGCTCTAAATTGCCACAACTCAATCAAGTGATGTTACCTGTGCTGAAATGATTGTCAGAGTGTAATATCTAAATTATTGTATCTCCCGCAAAGAGCTATCTAAACTTTTCGATCTCATACCAGGAATTATTCTGCTCTGGTTGTGACATTTTTTGTCGCAATAGAAACTCATCGACGTCAATATTAATGGAGGGGATATTCTTATCGATTTGGGAAATAATTTCCTCGCGTTTTAGATCCCTGGTTTGCTCAGAAGCGGAGGATTTGTAATGGTTGTTAAATACGTTATTGATAAATAGATTGTGCCCTAGATCATTTCTGGAATTGATATAGTAACTTACAATTAATAAAAACTATAAGTGATTAATCTACTGTAGAAACTGACTAAATTCAGAAATTCACTGAAAATAAAAGTCTGCCAGAACTGTTCGTGTTACGGGTTGTACATTTTTATAACAAATCCGTCCACCACTTTATAAGGATTTTGTATGTTTTGAATACTTTGTATTTATAAGAGAATAAAAAATACAATGTTAATAGCAACAATTAGCAAATATTAGAAGGTGATTTTATATGATTCCTGAAGATGATTAATAAATCTTTTATTTTTACATAAACTCAATAACCTACAATAACTCAACAAAGAAGTTTAATACTAAATTCGTGCTAAATGAAGAAAATATTGAAATACATTAAATTTTAATATTAAGGGATTGGGTGCGATTAGATTGCGGACTATAAAATAGCATAAAATTGAATAGAAAATACATTACATCGATTTGTAAACGTTCATAAATAGAACACGCAACAAATTGATCGAATAACTTAAATATAAAACTGTAGCAATAACTTTGAAATGACATGATTTAGATTATTACCATAATAAACTTCGTTAATGGAAGTGTTGCACAAATATGTGGATTTTTCTCTATATGTAGAAATACATTTTATTATTCAAAACACTTTCAATATTGATTTACCACATTTGCGAGTACTTAGTGATATAAGTTTTATTGATGAATGTATCCAAATCTGAAAACTTGTGTGGTTTTTAATGGTCTATCCAGATTGAAGTTTTGAAATGCCTAATATAAAAAAACTTGATCTAAATTCGTTTTGAATAGGTTCCTGAATAAGTTTGAAGGTCGCTAAATAACTTACGCTCAATTTGTTATGAAAACAACTAAAAAAATCTATTTAGTTCAACACACCACCATGCTTTATAGATTTATCCAAATCATTCGACAGAGTATGATTAGAAGACGTACTGATCCTGCTGCCAACTTACAGGATGACCTTCAAAGACAATTAAACAGTTTCTATCAAGTGAGCTAAGCCCTGAACATAGCTTCATACTTCAAAAACTAAACCTAGTGGTAGCAGGTTGCCAACAAGATTTAAGCTCACGATATCGTAAATGACCTGAAAGTACAGAACAACAAAGGGTCCGCAATTTCAAGCTCCCTATGAGATACTGTTTAATCGAACAAATTCATGCGTATGGATAGTAACGTGCAAGTAACGTGTAAATTCGCCCAATAATCGCTTACGGCATTGAAATACGCGAAGACATAAACAAAACCAATACATGTTAATAGTAGCTGAAATGAAGATAGTGAATCCAATTTCAAGAAGAACCAGATGCAACAGAAATAAGAACTTCGACATCAGGACATTGTAAGATTTTGGCACTACCACGTCCGTAGAATGCCAGATAAGAGATAATCTAAAAGTTATGCTTACAAACAACCAGCCCAGAACCATATCACCAGGCAGACCACCAAAAAGATGAGAGACAGCAGTTAACTTCTCAGGAGATAATTCAGAGGCAAATCTTATCCGGAACAACAGACCTAGCAAATTAGAAAGAGAGGTCTTAAATATGGATTTTACTCGTCCAATTTATTCTTATGTAATACACAAAAGATTCAAGAATAAGTTAGATCATGCCCTTGTGCAATTCTGTGTGAGGATCCACATGCATCATTAATAAAGCTCTAAATTCAATCACAACATTTTGGATATCTTTCATGTTTCCAATTCCTTCGAAACACTTTACAGTTTTTTGAACAACATTGAATAAGTTTTCCACTTCATCATAAAATCTTGACCTATTTCAGAAATTTGTTGTTTTTCATTAGGAACCATCTTAGAGAAATGATGTATTTTGCAGAACTCTTCAAAACTCGTCAAATTACGGACAGTTTTAATTAATGATGTATTCATGTCAAAATCAGAGCATGTTAGAATTAGTTACTTCATATCTAATCTGGTAGCGTGTGTTTTTAAATATTTAGACATACAACGCATTAGACCCATTTAGACGTACATCGCATCTCAAGTAAATAATGAAATAATACTCAATATCAGAAAAAAACGGCTAATTTTACAACATTGCGAATTTCATGTCTAAAAATCTCCATCTCCCAGAATGTCTCAAATTTTGTACGACTCTGTTAATCTTATTTTCGAGATATTTAAGAGTTTTAATTGGTACACGATAAACTGTATATTTCTTGAGTTCTGAAAGAATGATTATAACTATTTATGGCTATCACAAATTAAATCAGCTTAAACATAATTCATTGTAAAAATATTCTGATTTAAGTCATTAAACTTTTAGTACTTTTCATACTTATTGATTTGATATATTGCTTTTAATCCCAAAATATTTATCAAATAAAACATGAAACTATTTTATAGTAAATGATTAAAGTTTCCTACATATAATCGCCTTCATTGGGACCCGTGACCCACTAAATCCATTACGGGCCGTTAAAATCGATACAATATCCGTTTTAATGCCGTATTTATACACTTTGCCGGGCGTGATTTATTGTACCTATTGATTTCGGCGCGCATTTGTCGAATGTGACGGTCGCGCTGGTTGACGTATAATCGAAGATCCTGCCTCGGCGCGGTTGGTGATCTGTTTGTCGTTTCGGCAAACTACCGAATCCAGACATTTTGTTGTTCCTGACAGCACCAATTCGCTGTGTTCAATTTCCGCTATGCAATGTCGACCCAAAACAATGAAAATTGAAAAGATTAATCGACGAGTACATACGACTAGTACCAGCTTACACAATTCTAAAGAACTCGATTGAAAAATAATTTTCTAATCGTTAATCTATTTGTTTATTTTTGTTTATTTATTTGTTTTAGGGTCCACTGATCCCAGCAGCGTTCACCAATGGCTATCACTGAGCTCTTGGACTTGTTTCTAGTGTTGTGTGACTCGATTAGGCAGCTAATGTGATGTCAACACCTGCACTGTACATTCACTTGTATGTGTATAATATTAAGTATGATAAAAAAAATAGCCGCCGATTAGGTGTGGCCCACTTGTTGTTGTAATGTTTGGTGTTACCGTGGGAGGTCGGTCCGCCCCAGGCGATCGCCGATCGTCGACGCGACACGTAACAACTTACCGCAAATTAATTATTATGATTAATTATTAAATTGAATATTATAGAGAAAGTTGGCTAAAGTTGTGTAAAATAAGGCGAAATTTCGTTTATTAATCGCGGTCGACGGTCACCTCCGGAGGCCGCCCCATCAAACACAGGCACTCATTGGTTATAAGTCTTGCGTTTTATTACATATGATATATTACAGGGTATCTGATGGGATACATTATCCTCACATATTATTATTATAAGGACCAAGGAGGCAATGAGGAAAATAAAAAAAAATAAAACAAAAAAAGAGATAAAAAGACGTTACGGTGCATTGCCGGTGGTGTGTAAATTAATTTTTAAACTTTTAAAAAGAGCGTTTTATCTATATTGTCCCCTTTTTGTTTTTTTGGTTACGTTTAGATAGTTATGTTCCTTTCGATAGTTAACTTATGATAGATTTTTCGTAACGCGAAGAACAAAAATACCATTAATTCATGTTGTCCAGTGTGTTATTGAAATACCGTATAAATATATATAAATTAATGTATACAACAATTACTGGATATTTTAAGAGATTTGTATATAATTGTTGTTTGAACGGAGGTGGGACGGAAAAAATTATTAATCCTCTAGAAAATCGCGGATTTATTTTCTTTTATTCGACCTCCACTTTGTGTAGCTTATAGTAAACATCCTGAACGTATATTCCTGACGTATTATCCCCCTATTAGATCTGTCTGTTAGCACGAAACGGATCTATTATAAGAAAGGTATATATATTATATAAATGTTTCCTGTTAATGATAAAAAAGAATATTTCTATATACGTGAATATAACAGCGTTTTTTCCTTTCGTTGCTACTGGAATATTGGAAAAACTATTTAGAAAAAAAAATTACTTAACGGAAAAGGTGCTTTCTTAGTACTCCAGTACGAAGTAACACTCGATACCTTTACGTGAGTTAGAACTTTTTTGATGTACTTCGCCATTTGGACTTTTTAGAGATTACCAAAAAAAACGAAAAAAAAAAATTAAATACAGATGTATATTATTTATCTCTTTTAGTACAAAGTAACACCACGATATAATAATAAAGGTGAAATTAACAAGTAACAACAACTCGTCGTCGATAAACACTGAAACTGATGAAACCAACCCAATCAGATTTTTACGATATCTTTAATTTGTTTCGAATTTCAGCAGTTTCAGTGCGAACGCTTGTGCAACGATCGATGATAAAGAATAGTTAAAAAGCTAGTTAGGCCTGGTTTCTGTGAAATCCAGCGCAAATATTTATTGTTTTTTTCGGTAGCGCCGAAAAATAAAAATGTCAATATCGATGTCAATACACCAATGACTGTGTTTTCTGTTCGGTTTTCCGTGGGTACTGTTCGAAAGGGTATTTAAAAAAATGTCAATCCAGAGCAATACGGTAAGAGTAGGTAGTTTAATGAGAAAACAAACAAAAAAAAATTAAACAAAAAACATAAAACGATGATGATTCATTTTTCAGTGATTTATATTTTGATATATCGAACTGTGTTATTGCATTAAACGGTTTTTAAGGATTATAACGATAGCTTAGCCAATGACCCAATTGGGTGCGTCGCTTTAAAAGACATTGTGCAATTTTGAAATCTTTCAAAACGGCGCACCTTTTTATGGTCGCTATAGAAAAAGAAATTAAATACAAGTCGCGTCAAAATGTAGGTATTCTCTTCGTTTTTCATATCGATACCTTTAAGTGGTTAATCCTTCGGTTATTTAATCCCGTTCCTCCACTTCCCGACCTATCTCGTCTTTAGACTTGATTCGCGATGGTACCTGCTTAAATAATATGATTAATATACGAGAAAAGAATTTAAGAATAAACTTTCAATTAACATTCCATCTTTAGTACCAGCTAACAACATATCAAAAAATAATGATATTAAAACTCGTCAAAGCAGGATCATCATGTTGGCCAAAAACTCCTGTATATTAGTACCTAAAATACACCGGAACGATCCATTCGAAGGCTGGAAATCAAGCTTTTTTCATTCGTTTACGTGCCTTATTACATTTTTCTACTTTCTCTATTTTTTCACTTCCGTATTTGTACTTTATAATATATACGTATATATAAATTAGATATTGAAATGATCAAATATTGCTGGATATTTGATTTTTTGGCTATAATTATTAATATATTTTTTGTTATATTTTAACATTAACACTATAAATAAATTTGCTACTAAATCAAAATTAACCACATAATTAATTAGTTCAAAAAGATTTTGGAATGCAATACGTAAAAATCATATCAAAATTCAATTTACGCTTTTTTCGTTTAATATTAAAAAAAAAAAAATAAGGAACGAAAAATGATAAGTGTGATTGTTAAAATATAACATTGAGTCGCCATCAAAAAGAGAAATTGGTAATAGCCGACCTCTCCAGATAGCGATCTGTTCCAGAATAACGCTCACAAACAGTCAATTAAAGCCCAAAATCTCTCAGGAAATCGAAAATTAGTTTTCGTTTCGTTCCGAATTAGTCGTTGCATTGGTACCTGAAATTTTAGGATTTAGGTCGACTAGCTTGTTGAATAACTACCTTGTTTACAGCCTGGTATAATTTACTATAATCGATATCTATCTACGAAATGTACGCGCGGTGCGTTTAATTATGGAACAGATTCGCTTGGTGGACGAGTACGTCGGAATTGTTCAGTTTGTTCGGGATAATTTCGGTTTGAAAATAAAGAGAGACGAACGATGCTTCCGTAGGGTGTAAAAAAAAAGAAAAAAAAGAGAAACTAGTGGCGAAATACGAATTCGCCCGTGGCCAGATAGTTAGTTGTCGGTCGGATATTTTTTTATGGACAAAATAGTGGAAAGTGAGACGACGTAGCAATTTCGTTTAGCATTCGCGCGCACGTGTATTTTAGGTAATAATTAGCTGCAAAATGAAAATAAAAATTAAATAAAAAAAAAACGTATAAATTATTATTGATGACAAAAAAAAGTATCTCTCGACAATATAAAAATTTACTCGCGACACGACGATGGTTTGTTGTAAAATGAACTCCGAGATTGAAATCGTGGAACTCTTGTTACAATTTTTCTTTTCGTCGTCACGCGAGTTTTGTGTATAATTCAATGAAAAAAAAAACTATATCGTGGGCCTTATATACACTAAAAATTAAATACGTGCTGTCCAAATTTTATCACGTTTTGTTTTGTCTACCTAGATTCTTTTCTTCTTCATCTCCTTCTTCTTAAACGTAATTTTTACCAAAACCATTTATATCGTTGTTTTTATTATATTTTGTTGCTTAAGTTTATAGTAATTATTATTCTATTGATATTTTTAATTATTATGTTAAGTCTATATATATAACCCCGCGTAAAGAAATTGTAACATCGCAGAGCGAACCGAATTGTGAGGGGTTTATTATTATTAATTATTAAATTAGTTAACATAATTTGTATACTTAAACTTGTCCATAACTAACTTGTTTTTGTTTCTTTTCTTCCTTTTTTTGTTTCTTCGTCGATACGTACGTTAAAATTTACGTTATTATTATTATTATTACGATAACTGAGTGTTGTATACAAGCTGTATATATTATATGGATATAATATACATACTCTGCGTTAGTAAGTGGTCCCGTTCCACTCATATACATATATAAATATAAATATTATAAGGCATCCGCCCTTATACCCATGTTTTCAAGAACCCTAACCCTATCGTCCTCGCGTTACCGCTGGAATCGGTCCGGCGCCCCCAATTAGCTAGCTGATTCTAGGGAATTTTGAGAAAACGTGTTTTCATTAAAACAGCGGGCGTCTACCGGCGTCGCGGCGCCGCGAGAACCCATACGTAATTCATTGTATTTAATGGCCAAAAAAGGCTTCTTGCAATAAAAGAGCAATAACCGTATTCCTTCTGTGGACGCTTGACTTTTACATTATGAATAAATATAATAATATTACTATTATAAATATAATAAACAATTGTAACTGTAAGTACGTACTTTAAACGATCAAGATTTTACACTATATAATAACGATAATAATTGAGGGCGATCGGCGTATTGCTAAAAAAAATATGAGAAAAAAAACTTTAGGACGACTGTACAGATAGAGTTTGTAACATAATTAACGAGTTATGTTGTTCGAGCACGGTGGCTGTGGCCGCTCTAACGCTACTGTGGGCCCCCTCAATGGTCCGTCGATCGGGGGCCCTTCATGTATATCTACACGACGTTCTATACAATGTACATATATTAATTACAATGATAAGACAAGGTTCACAACGTGCCGTGTGTATGTGGGAAAAATATAATAATATGGACATTGTTCAAATAATCTTGTGTTTCATTTCTTTCATTAAAACCCTTACATTATGATATGAAAAAGAAAGGTAAGTGGAATTTTAAATATTTTTATATTGCACGTAATAATACCTAATAGTATTAAATATAACATAAAAGTCAGACAAAGAGAAGGCAAAACGTTACTGAACAACCTGAAGTCTAAGGTTATTACACCTTAAAAAAGTTTATAAGATACTTCGCGAGGTCCCAGGTGAAAAATCGATTTGTTGATTATGAATATCATCTTGAAACTTTTCTCAGTTATTAACAAAAGCATCTTCTTTTCAATGATCTCCGTTTTGAAATAAGTCGTTTTGCCTTGTAGATATACATTTTTGAACCCAATTGTAATTTGCGGTAAGTTCATATTTTGCAGGATTAACTTCAAAATTTCCTGAAAAATCGATTTGTTGAAGTATCATCGTGAAAGTGCTCAGTTATTAAAAAAAGCATCTTCTTTTCAATGATAACGTCCGTTTTGAAATAACTCGTTTTGATTTTCAGATATAAATTTTTGAACACAATCGTAATTTGTGATAATTTTATGTAACGCAGAATTAACTTTAAAAATTCCTGCAAAATCGATTTGGAATATCATCACAAAACTTTTCTGTTATTAATAGAAGCATCTTCTTTTCAATCATAATGTCCGTTTTGAAATAACTCGTTTCGTTTTTGAGATATACGTTTTTGAAGACAATCCAAATTTCTTATAACTATTATGGCTTGCAAGACTAACATTAAAAATTCGTGAAAATCGATTGGCTGGCATATGATCATGAAACTTTTCTCAATGGTTAATAAAAGCTACTTCTTTTCAATGATAAGGTTTTGAAATAACTCGTTTTGCCTTGAAGATATACATTTTTGAACACAACCGTAATTTGTGATAATTTCATATACCTATTGCAGGATTAACTTTATAAATTCCTGAAAAATCGATTTTTTACCATATCATCATGAAACTTTTCTCTGTTATTAATGAAAACATATTCTTTTCAATAATAATGTTCGTTTTGAAATAATTCGTTTTTCCTTTCAGAAATAAATTTTTGAACATAATCGTAATGTGTGATAAGTTCATATTTTGCAGGATTAACTTTGAAAATTCCTGAAAAATCGATTTATTGAAATATCATCGTGAAACTGTGCTCAGTTGTTAATAAAAGCATCTTCTTTTCAATGATAACGGCAGTTTTGAAATAGCTCATTTTGTCTTTCAGATATAAATAATTAAACACAATCGTAATTTATGATAAATTTATATATTGAAGAATTAACTTGAAAAATTCCTGAAAAATAGATTTGTTGGAATATCATCATCGTTTATCAGTTATTAATAAAAGCATCTTTTTTTCAATGATAATGTCCGTTTTGAAATAACTCGTGTTGCCTTTCAGATATAAATTATTGAACACAATCGTAATTTGCAAGGATTATAAGTTTATGGTAAGTTTATGTTTTGCAGGATTAACTTTAAAATTTCCTGAAAAATCGATTTATTGAAATATGATAATGAATCTTTAGTCAGTTATCAACAAAAACATCTATTTTTCAATGATTATATCAGTTTTAAGACAACTCTTTTAATTTTTGAGACATATTTGAACACAGTTGAAATTTCTAATAATTTCTATATTATACAGGATCAACTTTAAAAACTCGTAACAAATTGATTTGTTGGAATATCATCACGATAATTTTATCACTAATCAATAAAAACATGTATTTTATAATGATGATGTGAGCTCTGTGAACCTGGAACCCGAGTTTACGATATTTTGGTTTTATCAGTACCATTCGATAGAGAATCATTTGTACTCGTTTGTACCACCTTTAATAACGTTTGTACCTTAGAACCTAAAGAGATAACAAAAATTTGAAAAATTGCCGGAACCCCACTTTTTGATATTCTAATTTTATTAATACCCTTCGGTAGAGAATCGTTTGTACCCGTTTGTACCACTTTCGATTTCGTTTGTATCTCAACCGGTTCCAAAATACGGCGATTTTTTGATTTTTCAGAATACCGCTGAAAGTGTGTATCTCCGTTATTAATAGAGATATCGCAAAACGGTCGATGGAATTCGATAGAGAATCGTTTGTACCACGTTTGTTTTCGCTTGTACCTCAACCGATTCCAAAATACAGCGATTTTTTGATTTTTCAGCATACAGCTGAAAGTGTGTATCTCCGTTATTAATAGAGATATCGCAAAACGGTCGATGGAATTCGATAGAGAATCGTTTGTACCCCTTTGTACCACTTTTGTTTTCGTTTGTACCTCAACCGATTCCAAAATACAGTGATTTTCTGATTTTTCAGCATACAGCTGAAAGTGTGTAT